ACGTTTTCTCTTCTTTGTTTGGTACCAGTTGTTGCGCAATTTGGTTGCAGGCTTTTTGTCGGCAAATGTATTTCTTCAGCTTCAGCCGAGCCACCTTTCTTTGCGAGAAAATTTTTTGTTTTTGCTCCAGTATTTCAAGTTGAAATTTACAGTATTCACGGATGAATTCGCAGACAATTCTGATTGTATCGTAAAATCTTTCGTATATTTATGTAGTTTTATTTTGCGAGAATAGAAACCAGAAAGGTGTTGATAGTACAAATTTTTGATTTTCACAGGAACATTGTTCTGGAAGCCAGCAAAAATGAGTCGACACCCAGGATCTAGCCCAATCTTGTTGTCGTATTTTGCTCCGCGTATTTTTATTAGATTACCTTCACAATCGGTTTCATTTGGTTTAGTGCACGTTGAAGGAATTTTAAAATATTTTCCAAATTCACTTTTATCGAAGGAAGGAAACGGTCCTTTGAATAATTTTAATCGACACAATAGCTGGTACAAAGCAAATCGATCGAATCTGACGTGATGTAAACCGTGTTTTAGTTGTGGTATTGTGAAAAATGTTTTCTTCTTTGATTTCATTATACCGTTGTAGGTTATAAAATAATTCGATGGAAGACCAAAATTGTTTGACATTTTCTATTTTGTGTAGTTTGTTTCCGTTCCATTTTAAATCGATAATTAAACAGCGGATGAACTAGCAAGGTGCGGCTCCGCACAAATCATGTCCCATCGAGTGGATATGAGCGCCTCGATTACGCAAATCAATAACAGAATTACCGGAATTTAAGCTTGAAATCTAAGAAGAAGTTGGTTGAGCTGTACAGCATCCTATAAGATTACCAGATAGATGTGTAATACATCTCTACTAGGGCGATGTTAGTGTGAGAAAGGAAAATACGGCTCTTGGGTGTGCGTGCTGAAAGAAGCGGCATATCTCTCAACACGTTCTGGCGCAGGTGCCAGTCCTCAGGCTCAAAGCACACAGTTGGAACATTTTTTCTGCCACTCTCCGGTCCTTGCCAGAGTGGAGCATAAGGACACTTGGCCAACCATTCCTACAGAGTATTCTGAGTATTTCAGCGGGCGGTAGCCTCTCTCTGTATGATTTATCAAATGCGTCCGCCAGTGTCAGTGTACCAACATTTAGTGAAAGGAGCTAGAATTCGGTAAGCGAACAGGTAAAGAACAAACAGGATTGGGTGTTGTTACTCAACTGTCCTTCGCTCTACAAAACATACGAGTATTTTGTATAAGTTTTTTTTAGAAGTTGAGCGGTGTTTACACACTGGTGTTGCGGTAAGCTCCTCAGCATGGGTTTTCGTTTCACAACGTTAGCCCCGTAAGCTTTGGAGCAGATTGTTTATAGTAAACATTCTACTAGGTAGAAGTTGAATAAATTCTGCCAAAGGCAATGAAAATCTTGCTTGGAGATGGAGGAATCCAGAAAAAGAGCTATAGAGGACGGTATAAACCCCAGAATGCTAATCTTAAAAACACAATTGGTTAATTCTGTCATAGATTCTTCCACATTATGCCGCTCTCGCATATCGTCTTCAGCTACGACACTTGCAAGGAAAGCCATGTGAGTAAGTTTTGGCTCATGGCTTGTATTAAAAGGTTAAAGATTAGGATAATCTGTTGGTAACATTACTCTACTCACAATATATCGATTTCAACGCATTTGTACTTGGCACATTTAACTTTCTTTTTTTTTTGCTGGTGGGAAAATGGAACGCCAATAATTTTATTCATACAAGATAATAAAATACTAGCAGCCAAAGCCGCGCAAGATAATACTCAAATGGAAGGTCAATTAAAATTTCCAGCCAATAATGGGACAATGAGTAATTTAATGAATTTAAGTACGTGTGAGCATTCAAATACAATACATACATATAAATGAATGCCCATATTTAGATATGCATGCAAGTACATACATGCAATCACATGTACATACATGCATACATATGTAAATGCCAAAAGGGTTAAAATGTATAGAAATTGTTAAAACAACCAAAAAGTCATGGGCAAAACAACTGTTAATTTCAACAAAAAAACAAAAATTTTCGCTGTACACAAACTCTAAATTCCTCAATTAAAAGCAAAAAATAAAAAATTAAATAAAAAATCCTGTTGTTGAGCATGCGTAAATACATGGCTAAAGAGGGCATACTATGCATGTATGAGTATATCGCAATGAATGTAAGTAGTGCCCATATTTGTAAGTACACTTATGCACATGATGAGTACAGCACTTTTTGATCGAAGAGAAATTAAAAAAAATATATATGTATATACATATATACAAATTTACAAACACACAAATAAAAGCAATTAAACATTGAAATGGCTTAGTGGTGGATTATGGCATATTGAATGAATAAGAGTTCCAGTAGCGAACCCGCTCATTGGCATGCTACTGCGGCATGCGGCACAGCAAAACTTGGGAGTGCACATGCAGATATAAACATACCTAGTACATAAGTACATACTCGTATAAACAGATGTACGATATGCAAGAATTTATGTTGTGCACACATGCATGCTTTTGAATATGAATACGAAAAAGTTTTATAGATACAGTGGTGGACAGGTGAGTAGAGTAGTAGTAGGTAGTATCTCGTTTTTTTTTTTGAGGATAGAAAAAGCACAATGCATTTTACAAAAAAGTTATTTTGAGAAAGCAATTTAGGTATGTGAAAAATTGTTTTTGTACCACAATTCATTAAAAAGGTTACACAACGCTGACGGTCGAAAAAATAGGTACAAAAAAAAAAACAAATTTTTTCCTGACGCAGATGTGAAGGTTATAAAAACAAGTTTATTTCACATGCGTAAAGTGCACATTTGAGAGTATATTCAAAGAAAAAAATTGAAAAAGTTATAAAAGGCGGAGATATAAGTCATTCATTAGCACCTTCTTTTCAGATAGTGTGCTAGATTTCTCAATTGGGCATCGTCTAGAAATTACAAAATGTTTTTTTTTTTTATTTAAAGAGGTACTAGCAGCGTGCTATATAGGGAAAATTTCTTAATCTCTTTTTTTTTTTGCAAAAATGGCAGTGGTTTAAAAACAGCGACATAAAGTAGATCTTCAGAATTAGTGTACACCAGTTAGAAAAAAATCGTTTCGAGAAAACAGCGAAACCCAAAATTTAGGGGCTCTTGGCATTTTTCTATCA